CCTAGACCCTTCTTTTCTGAAGAAGGGTCTAGGCCCAAAACGTCAGCTTTCCTGCTCCTCTGATGCTGCTTGGCCTGCTGTGTTCATCCAGGTCTACACCTTGTTACCTCTTTTTCTGCAATTGGTTAGCCAATTATCTCTCAATACTAATACATTACCCACTACCAACGTTCCCTCTCCCTCGGAGGGTTGACGTATGTCAACTGGTGTGCAAACACACTGAAGTCCAATTCCAATGTTGCTGTCCCACGTGAGGCTTGGAGGTCCAAACAGCAGCAGGAAAAAACATACATCGTTGTACCTTACACCAGCTCCTAAGTAGCCTTATGTTTGGAAAATATATACTACATTTTCTGATTTCCCTTTATCTATCCTATTTGTCATCTCCTCAATGGTCTCTATTAAATTTGTTAGGCATGATTCCCCTTTCATTAAGTCGTGCTTGACTATATTAAGTATTTCTAAATTCTCTGCCATAACTTCCTTTATAATTGACTAACATTTTCTGAATGACAGTCGTCACTCAGTTGCCAGGGCTGTAAGTTCTGGAAATGCCTCTTTAAACCTCACTGCCTCATTCTTCATTATTAAGGCTAAAACCAACCTCACTGACTAAGCCTTTGGGCGCCTATCTTTATCATCTCAGTGCGTCTCCGTGAGGCTGGTATGCAGCTTCCGATGTTAAAGGTTGTTGTTTGGTTGGACAAGAGTGTTGCAGAAGAAAATGTCATGCCAGCCGAAGTTTTCCTCTTGCACACATCAGGACAGGTGAAAGAATGCCAATGCCTGGACACATACCTTTAACCTGAACAGGCCAAGTAGCTGAATGTGAACATTCTTGACTCGTACAGAACCAAAAGCTTTTCTTCAGCAAGACCCAAAGTGCTATAAACAGACGCTGCTGTAGCCCTTGTTGTTAAACCTTGGCGGGCAGTCGCCCCCCGCCCCGAGCCCAGCCTCAATCTCTTACCTGTACCCCGGGCAGAGTGGCCTGCTCCGGGGACTGAGCCATCCCGCCGGCCCTGCTCGGGATTCCTGGGGGGGGGGGGGGGGGGGGGG